GCTGGGCCGGGACAGCCTGCGGGGCTGCGGGTGGGATCTGCGTGGGGAGGAAGAGGAGACAAATGCATACAGAGAAAGGAGGGCTGGGGGGGTGGGGGGTGGCAAAGCTGTTTCCAGTCAGGTTTTCCTCAAAACACATTTAACTTGGTTTCAGTTCTCTGGATTCAGAGGGGAGAGGGTTTGGTACCCCCGTCCCTCACCCTGCAGCAGCAGGGCTGGGTCTGTGGGCTGGAAACAACACAGGGGGGCCCCGAGGAAAAAAAGAAAACCCCACAATTCTCCCTCGGGACGCCAGCAGGCGGGCAGGCTGTGAGTCTTCCTCACAGGGCTTACCGAGCTCATCCACAGCAATTCATACGGAGGTCAAGGGAAGGTGAGGCCAGCCCGTCTGCTGCTGCGCACCACGGGTGCCCACGCTCTCCCACGTGGCAGCGAGTTTAACGGGCAGCAACGAGGAGGCTCTGCCAAACCCTGCTGGAAAATAGGATACGAACCACACTGAATTTGAGGCGTACACATCGCTTCAGCACGTGGCACGGTTGCCGCATGCTGTGGTGGCCACGACAGGCATGGTGACGAGGACCCCAGCGGCAGCTTCCAACAGGGGCGCAGCGAGTGCCCCCGGTCACACGCCGGACGCTTTCCCAGCAAAGAATATATTGCAGTGCCGGCCTGACAGAGTGTGCGTGGCACAGCCAGACATCCCGGGACGTTGCCGCCAGCGGAGGTCAGGGAGCAGCCCCGTTTATTGTCCAGGCAGGCAGTCGGGGAGGAAAGCTGCCGGCCGGGCGTGCTGGGGAGAGGTATTGCCAGGGGAGAGCTGGCTGCGCTTCTTGGCACACATGCTGCCAGTGAGACTGGGAAGGAGCCGGTAGTTTTTTCCAAGAGCCTTCGGACTGGAAAGCAGTGATAGCAAACTGATGTGTTTAGAAGGAAATTGTTAAAAGGAAAAAAAATAAATTTGAAGTTCTGTGGTTGCCAAGAGGGTTTCATTTTGTTCGCAGGTGAGCTGGCTCGAGCCAGGGAAGGTTCCCACAGGGAGAGCATTTGAGTCTGCACAGCAGCCACGACGACTCTGCCTTACACTTACAGCTTCCCTCAAGCCAGGCCTGTGCTTTTGGGGTCACTCTGCAAGTAGAGATGCAAGCCTAGCTACCTCCCAGGCTGTAACTAAACCCAGACACTCCTCTAGTGCCAGGGTACCTCTTGCCATTCACTGTCTGTCCCCCAGAACTATAACTATCCCTCTGGGGAGCGGGAGGGCAGCTTTTTTTATGAGCTGTAAGGCAGCATTCCAACACCTTGTGTCCTTGCAGGGAGTGGGGCTAGAGCTGAGCTGGGGAATGCAAAACATCAGCGGATCTGCCTTATTTAGCTATGGGAGCATGTGCAATATTACAGCATTCAGAAACACAGCCATCTCTGTGATTTCACCTCATTGGATCATCCCAAGTCTCTGCCATCAGAAAAGCTCTGGCAGCAGGCAACTTCATACGTATTGCTGGCTCCTGGAAAAGCGAGGAGCTCCAGCAAACAGAACTGACAAGGAAGCTGTAGTGCTTATTAACAAACATCTCCAGCTTACCAGTTTCCATTTGTCATATTTGGTGGACAGCCAAATCTTTGAACTTACCTTCACTTCCCTCCTCTCCCTCACCAAAAGGGAGAAGTCCTGCACCCCCCTGATAGGGCAGTGCTCTCCCCTGCTCCTCCTGCCATTGTAATTTACGGTCTTTACCTTTATTCCTTATGGACTGCAGAAAGATTACATTTGCCTACAGTGTTTGGGGCAAGTCTGTAAGTGTGTACTATGCTCCTTCTTTTTATCAATGTGTTAATGTTAGCACACGATAAAACTTATGGCAGCATCCATGTCTGAAGCTGGTTAAAGCAGAAGGTACACGCAAGCCAAGAAATGCAGAATTAGACCCCACAGTTGGCATTTAGCAAAGATAAAACTGCTGAATCTCACACACATGGGGAAAAGGAAATACATTTTCTGATTATTGCAGCTCTTTTGCAGTGTGAGTTTTCAGAATGTTGACAGTCTCAGGGCCAGAGTCTTAAGTTGTACAATTTCATGTCATTGAAATTAACATGTATCTGCCAACTTACTGTCTTAAAAACTTAATATGTAGCATGAAGAAAAAGAGCCTGCCTTCCTAAACAACAGAGCTAGCGCGTTGATGTCCTTTCAGTCCTTTCCCACTGTCACACCACAGGGGAGCAACTCTGTCTACTCACTTCCTGCTTTCACAATAGCTAGAAGTGAGTATGGTACATCAGAACAGAGTAACA